CACTGCTGTGGTGGTGGTTGGAGCTGTTGTTGTGGTTGGAGATGCTGTTGTTGTGGTTGGAGCAGCTGATGTTGTGGTTGGAGGAAGTGTCGTCGTCGGAGGAACTGTAGTTGTAGTTTGTTATGAGCATTAGTAAAGCAGTCTGGAATCACTCTAAATTTCAAGAATATTTTTAATGTACAGAATTACAAGTATTTATGGATGTATTTTACGTTGCTTACCACATTTTCCAATGCAAACCGTTGACGCTTGCACTGAAAATTCATTTATCTTTGGTGCCTCATTGATTAAAACATTTTCGATAGCTTGATCACTAGGAAGACCAGATGCTTGAAATTCGAGGTCCAGCGTGTTGATAACTGATCCCTTTCTGCAAATACAGAGAAGCAAAAACTAATTTATACAAAAGTCTAATTTAGAATACATAAATATGTTTTTTTAATTTTTTATTTCAGTACCTGAATGACACGATTGTCAAATTCAAGAATGATGAAAATGCTTTTGTGTAGAGGGCATAAAGCTGCAAAGATATGATGTGAAATTAATTATTTCCTTTCTGTTTTACAATGTTATATCTCAGAATTTGAAGTAGTAAAAACATGCTGTCATCTGATTTCAAAACATTGAGAAAGTATGTAATTAACACCATCAATTACATTATTTGAGTGATAAAGGATCATTGTCTTTTCTTACTACAATAATTTGTTTTGGAAAAAAAAACTGAGGTCCAAATCGTCATATTCTTTAAAGAATGTTTTAATTCATCTAACAATACTGTATACTTCATTAGTCTTAATAAAATAGGGTTCCCTTGCCTATATAAATTCTAAAGCAGGATCTTATTGCTACAAGATGATAATACGTGGACTGCTGTGATACCAATGTCAGACAGTATAATATTATCTGATTTTAAAAAAGTAGAAAAAAATGGGAGATAAGAAAGTAAAACTTACACGATCCCACAAAAGTTGGGACCGTTCGTTGAAAGCAGCCGAAGAACTGATTTCAAGACCGATGGTAAAGGTATCATCAGGAGACCTAAAGGTCATCCGACGGACAACTGTCATTTCAGTTGTGCCAACGGTAGTTGTTGCTGTTGAATAAATGATGGATGTGGTTGGAACAGCTGTGGTTGTGGTTGGAGCAGCTGTGGTTGTGGTTGGAGCTACTGTTGTTGTGGTTGGAGCCGCTGTTGTTGTGGTTGGAGCTGCTGTGGTTGTGGTTGGAGCTGCTGTGGTTGTGG